CATAAATCAAGTTCGAATTCAAAGAAGAATGAAAGGAGGAACATAGCTAGCTAGCACCAATCTTAAACAAAACTGGTACCTTCTCATGGCACAACCTTAGCGGATTATGATCCTTTTCACTATTAAAAAAGTAATAGAGAGACTAGCACTATATCATAATTATTGGTTAATTTAGTGGCAGGTTGTGATTTACCTTTGAGTGTAAATTAGAAAAATAATACAATTCGTGGGACTAATAATGAGTATTAGATATGAAATAAATTATAATTACGTACTAAATAAATCAATGGATATGATTAATATAATGGTCTCTCCATTATTTTTTGATAGTAAAGAGGATCCAAATCCAGACATATATAAACACCCTCTCTATGCAGTCCCTAGCTAGTGAATATCTCCATCTCCATACTCTTGTCCGATGTGTTGCTACTTGCTAGCATGATGCATCTCCAAACTATTACTCTTACAGAACGATCCGTACTTTATTTAATATAAGACTATGATTAATGCCTAGAAATACATGTCGATCATCTCATGCCAAAATCGATCCTAAAGTAATTCCCTGTGAGTGTACAGACAACATGTAAACCAATATTAGGATCATATCCAATCAAACAGTGGTTTTTTTGCATAGAAATAAACAAGTAGAATGAACAGTCATAGTTAATTTGAATGCATGCGAAAAGATTTTGTCCCAACCTGAAAACTAATGTTGAGGAAAGGGCTGGAGGATAATTAGTTATATATAGCAACACCTATTAATATGTGTGGACTTCATTCACCACCATGTTGACTAATGAGGAGTAATGCTAAACCTAATTAGATGAGGTATTTTTCATTGGGCCGATATAAGGAACTCGTAATTAGGAGGGTTGGGATTCCCAATATTTTAAATTGTAGAGAATCCCTATAATTAGTTAAATGGACCGATTAAGTGGATCAATACCATTGCTTCTTAATTTTAAAGAACTTATAAAATTTATAAATAATGTCATTTATGGGGTCCACCGAATGATTTTTTTGAGGAATCAAAAGATTTAATTGCATTGCATTAATAAGAAGTTGAGTACATATATAATATGCATCAACCCAATAATCCATAAAGCAGCACGGAAGTGATAAATCTTGGAATCCACCAAGGGCGTTCACTGAATCGACAAAGAACAATTTTCGAATCCATGAAGAGACAATCTCGAATCCACAAAGTAATATAAATGAGAATTTTATTGACAAAAGTGATATAATTCATGATGTTTACAATACTTCTTTTTAAATAGAAAAACAAAACCCTCCTAATAAGAATAAAATTCCTAAAATAAACAATTTAAAACTACCTAAAAGACTCTCTATAATAAAGGAAACAAATCAGTCATAATTAAATCAAAATTGATTTTATTTCCTAATCTAAATTGATTCTAACTTTATTACTAAAAATAAACTAGAGTTTAATTATTTCTAAAATCCTATAAAAAATGGGTAGTACTGATAGGATTGTGGGATTTTGCTAAGATTATTAATCCGTCTCGTCAAGATAGGTGATTTTATATATAATATGTTACAATCTGCCTTTCGGATTGGGAGATATTGTCGTTCTTTGTAGTTAACCAATAATTCATCTATATCTATATTTGGCTCGTGAAGATCCAACTTATCCATGAATTTGATCGTCATGCGTTCTATATCAATCTTCCCTTGTTGAAAGAAGCTTGACCTGACCCTGAGTTTATATTTGTTTGAATAGCAGCTTCCTTGATGTACATTATTCTTCTTTTGCGTCGATTAACGTCTGCCTTATACTTAGCATTGATTTTCTCCATCTATTACTTTACCTCCTCAGCTAAGGCTTCTTTCTTCTAAATTAAACTTTGAATGAATTTTTCCCATATTATTTTAATGTAATTGACTGCATGCGGATCAATAGATGCTAGAAAAACTCCCCCAAATTATCTCCTTGTTGCTTTTTATATTCCCGTGCCTGCAATTTCATCTCAATCTTGTCAAAATCATTGACACTCTTTATTTCAAAAAAAGAATTTCTCTCACACTCCATCTCCTTTCTTTTGGTCCGTCTAACAAGTTACACATGTTATCAATTGTTTCGCTCTCTATTTTATCTTTTCCCTCCATCGGGACAACATCAATATGTGCAATATCGCTCATAACCTCTTGGGGAATATCATGCATAATACCCATCTTCTCTATCATATCACCATCAACATTATGAATCTCATGCATAACAAGTGTTTGCACCTTAGGAGGAATTTTAGCAGGGACAGATTCTTCTTTTCCAGTTACAACCAAGGCATAGACCTCTTCGGATTAATTCAAGTCTTCGACTAAAGTCTTATTGTAGACCACTAATTTTTTTTTCTTCTTAGTAGTCTCTATCATAGATGACTCCATTTCTAGGAGAGACATGAGTGCAATTCGATGTTTATCCTTCTTGAAGATACAAGAATCGTCTCTACTCCTGTGAGTAGCACCAACATCTAACTGCCATGTCCTATCTAAAAGCATATGAAAAATATCCATCTCGACCACATCACACAATACTTCATCAACATAGTTGCGGTTGATAGAAAAAGATACTCAATATATCTTATCATTCTGCACATCATTGTCCTTACGAATCCAGTCGATCTGGTAGGGAGGTTGGTGTTTCTCTATCTTCAAACCTAACTTATTTACCATACGTCGAAAGATAAGATTCTTGTTACTGCGATTGTCAAAGATAATATCACCATCACAAATCTTCTGCTGCATCTCGTGTAGAAGATATTGTGCTGAGGAGGTGGTTCTTTTTTTTTGTTACTTCAATACTCTTCTCAACCCCAGGGTTTTGCTCAAGATCAAATTGGAGCTGCTTAATTCTTCCATGACCACAGTTAGAGTGTGAACTAGGATGTCAATTGAACACATAATAATATATAGGAAGAAAACAAGCTTTCAACAATTCCTTCATCTCTGCCCATGTTCGAATCGGATCCTTCTCTCACCCCACCATGCAGATGTTTTTTCTTTAAGTCTGTAAATCGCTAATTTATCTTTTTAATCTTCTAGGATTATCTCATACTCAAAATATCTATCCACTTCACCAATCTAATCAAGGAAATTATCAGCATAAAGCTTTCCGTTAAAGGATGGTATCTTTAATCCTTTAGTGTCATAGTTCTCCTTTCTTCGGTAGCCTCTACGATCATCGCTGTAGAATTTGTATTGCAGAGTCGGATCTCATTTTTGGTGAACAACGTGACCTCAAACTCATCTCGGATTTAGACGGTCTACTGCCAATGCGAGTCGGTCTATGGAAGTCTTCATCTGAGTAACTCCAGTCTTCAACTCATCAAACTCGATTCAGGTAACACATGCTTCATCTCTTGCCATCGGATTGGAGGAACATGGCTTTAATACTAATTAACGTAGCGCGACAGTAAGAAACATCGGAATTCACCAAGAGGTGTTCTCTAAATCCACAAAGAACACTATTCGAATCCACGAAGTAATATAAAAGAAAATTTTATTGATAAAAGTGATCTAGTTCATGAGGTTTACAAATCCTTCTTCTTAAATAAAAAAATAAAGCCATCCTAATAAGAACATAATTCCTAAAATAAAGAAACAATTTAGAGCTACCTAAAAGACTCTCTATAATAAAGACAACAAATCAGTCCTAATTAAATCAAGATTGATTTTATTTCCTAATCTAAATTGACTCTAACTTTAATAAACTAAAGGTTTATTATTATTTTTGAAATTCTGTCAAAAATGGTTGTTACTGATGATATTGTGGGATTTTGCCAAGATGATTGACTCTGTCTCATCAAGATACACTGCTGGATTTTCAACTTTTAGCGACGGAAAATTCCGTCGCTAAAAGTCACTTTTCCGTCGCTAAAAGTTTTAGCGATGGAAAAAAACAAATTCCGTCGCTAAAATTTTGACGCTACATTCAGGGTCCCTAATTGAGGTTTTAGCGATGGAATTTCCGTCGTTAAAGTTTAGCGACGGTATATTAGCGACGACAAAGTCGTCGCTATTATTTTTTAATAAAATAATAAAAAAAATTAGCAACGGAATTTCCGTCGCTATAAATAAAATTATTAAAAATATTAGTGACGGATTTTTTTAAAAAAAAATTCAAATCAGTTTTTTTTCGTGAATGTTTTCCGTTGCTATATGGATATTTAGCGACTACTAATCCGTCGCTAATTTTTTTTAATTTTAATAATTTTTTATTAATAATTTTTTTAATTATTTATTTTTTTGTGCACGTTTTCCGTAGCTAAATATTTATTTAGCGACGGAAAAACCGTCGCTAAATATATATTTAGCCACGGAAAATCCGTAGCTAAATAATCATTAATTTTTAAAAAAAAAATTTTTGAAAATTATTGAAAAAACCATGTACAATATCGATACTAAATTTAAAAAACCTGTTCAATCAGCAGTATAATATTCAATCTCACGCATATATCACAAATTTATTTCAATAAAAACAAATAAAAGTTTCACGACAGGTACATAATAAATATTGTTTATACAACACAAGAAATTGTTTTCAAAGTTAAATTAATTACAATCAATCCTCCTGATCATCATCATCATCCTCATCCTCAACACGAGCTGCATTATGACTACCCCGGCTACACCTCAAACCCCCCGACAAACCAATCACATAACGACCACCACAACACAACACCACAACGTTACCAACCAACCAACCCACCAGCCAATACCATCACCACTACGCACACTGAAAATACCAAATTAAGACAAAAAAGTATAGTTTCTCAAGGCTAAATATAATGCAGCCTTTTCCCGCGTGAACTGCAGCTAGATAAGCTTCATTCTATAGTTGAACACTAACCACGGACCTTTCTCTGGACTTGTGTTGGAATGGAAACAGAACTAAAAAGAACAATCTTGTTCATTAGCTTTTTAAATTGCTTTCTGTTTTATTCCCACAAGAGATAATAGTTCAGTATAACGAAGGAAGCACAGCAGTCATGCAGTGGCTAACCAATAACTCCAATGACAAATTTATGTGAACGAGGTGCTATACTGACCTCATGGTTCAAAGGCTTCCATAAGACATCAGAATGTGCTGTAACAGCCATTTGACCAAGGCACAAAACCAGTGTTTCATCAACTTCATCTACAGTAGGCATATCCAATAAAACATCAGCAGAGGATGGAGGATCTACCACAATCTGAGAAACAATAGGCTTCAGGAGGACCTGCAACATTTTATGAACAGCTTAGAACTAACAAAGAAATTAAACATTCAGTAAATAAAATGCGCAATGAAAAGAAGATAAATTTGGATAATATCAGGGCTATTTTCCTTATCCTCCTTTCCTATTTCTGAGCACAAGATTAGTATTTCTCTGGGTGTAAGTTCGATCACGAGTCAATTATCATGAATAATTGTAGCTAAATGACAATTGAATCAAGACTACCACATCAATTTCATGTTGCTATGCATAATACCTATAGAACAGGTCTCAAACTACCAAGTAATAAATTGATGGATAGTAACAACATACAGGTAGGTAGTACAAGTCTACTGACTCCTGGATTTAGGCAAGTCAGTAGCATCACATTATTATCAAAGTCATTGTAAATTATGATCAAAACAAGGCACTCAAAAGGAGTACAATAGCTTCATGAGATATTTCTAAAGGTGGTTACTCAGTCTAAATCACATGCAACTTAGAACGAAGACAATGCCAAACAAATGCGAAAGATCTGTACTCAAAAAATTTTATTTAAGTTCCAAAAAATGGTAGCAACTTTGAGTTCTGACGTGTCAGCATGTGAAACTTTTACTGCTTAGTTGACATTGAAGAAAAGACAGCATATATATTTTTAAGTTGCAAATCATATTTATCTCCTCTTGAGTAATTAATAGTTCATGGTGAGGTCAAGGCGATTAGGTCCTATATTGGTTGAGGCCAGAGGCACCAAAAAAGGCGATCGTCTGAGTAAACTAAGGTGATAAATATTCAAAAAATTCATAAACATTACAAGTATTATGCAAATACCAATAAATACCAACAAGACAAATTAATCACAACCAAATTTTCAACTTCACAAATATAACAAGTCATTAACCATCTAAAATAAAGTAGTAAGTAAAAAATATTGAATAGTAAGATTAACCAGTAACATATTTATACTAGAAAACAAATTATGTGAATCTAAAACAAAGAATTTAGAGATGCAATTGAAAAAAACAAATTATACTAGAAAACAATCAAACAACATATTTAAGGTTCACAAAATATATGAACTAACCTCAAAATTTGAGGCATCAAGAAACTTCAGATCTGTCGTGTCATAGAGGAAGCACTGATATAAAGACTTCAAAACAAGAGCCCGCAAATGCCACTGCTTATGGGATAAAACATCTTTGGGCTTTGCAACAGCAGATGCATTCCCATGTTTGGCCTTCTTTTTCTTTTGGGTCAAAGGTATCAAACCTATGTCTTGATCTTCAGTAAGATGTCGCGTGCAATCCTCAAGCAAGTACTTGAAATAAGGTACAAACAAAGATCTATGACATCAAAATTGCATCATTAGATATTTTCTGCAAGTGCTTCTTTCATTGAGAAAAATCTAGCAAAAAGGACCGGTATTGTCTTGAGTACCAACTATGCTATCATATAAATGACTTCTATTGAAACTAAGATCTCATGTTCATATCAGTTAGAAAAATATCCTTCATGAAAACTAATATATGACAGGGTAATGCATACAGAACAAATAGTTTTACATGGTAGCAATACAATTCGAAGGAGGTTTGTGCAAAAAATGGAGGTTGCAGAATAGGATCATCTAGAATATGGTAACAGGAGTATGGGTTACAGTAAGCTATCATACTTGGATGGCAGGAGAGCTATACTGCATTGGTCAATCCCTTTCGGTCATCCATGATGTCTGGGCAGAAGATGTCAGCGGCTTTAAGTGGGAAAGAGGTGCCCTTAATTAAATTCATGGATAATTTCAAGAATATGGTCCCGAACTGTCATTTAAAGCATTGTCCTATCCCTCGAAATGTAGACAATTTTGATTACTAAACAACATTTACTTTCAAGATTTAACATGACAAAAATGAGCACTTGTATCAACCAGGGAAAAGCCTCAGTCTGCATTAACAGCGGGTAGATATCATTTTGCCAATGAACAATATCAATCATGTTAATCAATAATCATAGACAAGAGGTAAGCCGACAACATCAGTAGATGATCAAACATAAATGCAAAACAAAGAATCTTCATGGCTTACCGGTGTTTCTCTACAAGTTTATTCACCAGTTTGTAGAAAGTAATTTTTCTGTCGAAACTTATGCTCTCACTTCCTTCAAGTTTAGAATCTGCCCAATCAAATTGTCATACTTTCAAAAACAAAAAGAAACGGTGTTACATAGTAGACCTCTCTTCAAGAATGTCAATTGTAGCAAAATGTCCTAGGGGTTATTCCTAGGTAAATCAAGCTCGGATCTCAGATACAACACAAAGATCCCAAAAACACAACATCGCACTAAAGAGGGGAAGAGATTGAAGGCTACAGCAGACATGCCGAGTGATTAAACATGATGATGAGTTTAACGGTAGGGAAGGTGGCGGCTCGTCGGTGGTAGGGCGGCGGCGCGGGTCCGGCGCCGGCGAAGAGAACGAGAAGGGGGAGAGGGGGCGGGATGAAGAGAGAGAGGGGGAAATGGAATTGAGAGAGGGATTTGGGATAAATCCCTCTCTCGGGCGCGGGCTGCCCAAAATTTTTAGGCACGCCCGCGCCCAATTTTTTTGCCAGCTCATCCTTTTTAGCGACGGAAATTTCCGTCACTAAAAAGTTTTTTAGCGACGGAAATTCCGTCGCTAAATTTTTTTTTAGCGACGGAATTTCCGTAGCTAAAGTTAAAATAATAGCGACGGAAATTCCGTCGCTAAAAATAAATTTTCCGTAGGCAAAATTATTTTTCCGACGGAATAATAACGACGGAATTTTTCGTCGCTATAACACGGCTTATAGCGACGGAAATTTCCGTCGCTATAAGTCTGTCGGCAAAACCCCGTATTCTAGCAGTGATAGGCGCTTTTCATATATAATATGTTAAAATCTATCTTCTAGATTTTGAGATATTGTTGTTTCTCTATGGTTAGTCAATAATTTATCTGTATCCGTATTTGGCTCGTGAAAATCCCACTTCTCCTTGAATCTGATCGTTATGCGTCCTACTCTCCTACATCAATCCAAAAAGAGGATACACTTATATCTGTAAGCAATATGAGCTAATTTGCGAGCGCAAATATTGCCCAATCTATGGACATTGGACACGACTGACACAAAAGCAAACAAAATATTTAAATAGTGCCCAACAATCTCAAGAGTGCTCAAAATGGAGGTAGGATAGCTATGGCACTACGAAGCATAAGCACAAGGCTAAACAGTCAAACTCAATGATGATACTTGACCATCCGTTGTTGAGGGCGATCGACATGAAATTCAACGAGTGGAAATGCTTTCGCCACGAGGAGGATTGTAGAAATTCTCCATAACTAAGGATGGAGAGAATCCGAATCAGTTTATGAGTTCGATTTACTCAATTTTCAATGCTTGAAAGAATTTTAGGATCAATAGGAAAGCTAAATAGTGGACGGATTAGTGGTGGGGCTTAACATTAGGGCTTCACATTATTGTGAGGAGTTCAAAACTATATTGTGGTTCACATGTTTTTTTTAAAGAGAAAAGAAGAAAAGAAAAAGAAATGGAGAGGGTTAAAAGCGAAAACTATATTGTGGTTCACATGTGAGAGGGCGACCCC